AAAGGCTCGCTAATGGAGGTCGTAAAAGACATCGCATCGAATACTGTGGTGCCGGCATCCACACAGACCACCACCCCAGGCCCAAGCAGCAGGAGTGTCAGCACTGTACCCCGACCAGTCACACCGGTGAATAGTCCAAAAAGACCAAAGCGATGACCGGGTACGCGACCAACTACATTCGTCCCCAACCCTGAAGCCACTTCAGAGGCTTACCCCACTGTGCAACCGGAAAAATGGGTGGCAGTGGAAAAGAAGGTGCACCTTTCCCACAAAAAACCACCCACAGCACACGAAAATAGGGAAGCTGATGACGGGTTGAACTCCATCGTCTTATTTAACGTCCCTGTGTGCCATGATAGCCTCCTTGAGAACAGAGAATCGTTTGACAAGCAGCAATGGGAAACCGTATGCACCACACTAGGACTGGGTAGCCTAGAAGCAAAACTGTGTAGGCTCTACAAAGGCAACCACCCACCCCAGGGAAAGCCTCCGCCAATGAGAGTTACCCTAAGCTCTGCTAAAGAGGCGGAAAGATTCTTGCTGATGTCACACACACTGGTCATTAACCGGTCATCCAGCATTAGAGCCAGACCAGACCGCCCTTGGTCAGCAAGAAAAGTATCTCACGAGGCGCCCCAAATGCTGAAACCAACAACTATGGTTGTTCACGGCATACCAGAACTGACAACCGGCTCAGTCGTAGAAAAGTATGCTCACGACGTCCAGCAATGGCAGTGGTTGTCGGCGAGGATGGGGCTAAATGGGATAGCAGCGGCGGCGATCTGCAGACTGCCATGTCCCTCACATTTGACGACGATAATGGCACCCCGGTTGATGGCTGTTAACTTCGGCTGTGAAGAACTTTTAACCAGTGCACTGCAAACTTGGTACACAGTAAAAGATAACATCAGTGGGGATGTTCGCTGCTGTGAAAGCAGGCCCAGGACACTGCGACAACAGCAAATGGCAGCACCGCCCACCGCTGAAGTCACCATCACTGTCAACAGACAAGATGCACGATAAAGCCCGAACTCTACGAAACCCCCAGGAACCATTGTGGGAGAAAAAGTGATTGGGCCGGTTTCACTGAAGCTGGCCGCCCTGTAGCAAGTTTCGCCACTACGCACGACTCCTTCCAGTCTGCCAGCACCAAGATACCCCTTGCCGTTGGAAACATAGCCAAGTGTCTTTACAATAATGTGAGGGGACTTAGAAGTAAGATGGGGGAATTACGATTTCTTTCTTCCTACCTCGCTCCAACTATCATAATCCTGACAGAAACTTGGTCGCCACCGGACATTAGCGACGTCGAAACTAGTATACACGGTGTGCGTCTGTTCAGGAGAGACAGGGAGTTTAAGGAAGGAGGTGGAGTGGCGATGCTTATAAGTGATAACCTTAAAAGTGAATGAGCAACCGAAACCCTACTTTCAGGGCTCCCAGACTCCATCTGGTGTCAGTTTAAGGTTGGACACACCAAGTACACCAAGTAGGAGGCGTCTACAGGACACCTACTAGCAGCGTTGAAGAAAACCGACAACTGCTATAAGTAATGTCCCGAGCGACGTCCACCGGATATGACCAGGTCATTATAGCCGGCGACTTTAATGCTCCGACTCTCAATCTTGGGCAGGATAGGGGAACCTCAAGCCGAAGGTTCGACCGAAACCTACTCAACACCATCCAAAAGGCTGGGCTGCACGAGAATATTGGTGATGACACTCGCTGGGGGTCGGGCGGAAAGCCGTCCAAACTGGACTACCTTTTTACCAGTGACCCATTGCTGGTAGGAAATGTACAGGTTCAAACCCCCTCTTGGCAGCAGTGGTCACGGCGTGGTAGTGTTCGATCTGGTACTCAACGAACAACTGTCATGGGAGGCATCGCGCCCTTGTCTTTGCTACAACAAAGCGAACTACGTGGCGACGAACCAAAATCTGTCGACAGCACCATGGCCTCAGGAGTGGGGCAACCTGTCGATTGACCAACATTGGGAACTAGTCAGAGATAGCATCAAGAGGGCTGTCTCTGAAAACGTCCCAGTAATCACAGCAATACCGCGGAAACGAACCTCATGGTTGAAGCGAGGCACTGATCGCCTTTTGAAAGCCAAGAGGAAAGCATGGCGCAAGTGGGGAACCTCCAGAAAAGTGTCTGACCATACCGTGTATATTGCCCTAAGAAATCGATGTAACATTAGAGTGAGGGGAGACAGGAGGTCATTCCAGACGAACCTTGCTCAAAAGCTCGAGGCAAACCCCAAAAACCTATATCGGTTTATGGCAGGCAGAAAATCCACCAGCCAGGGGGCTTGCGTCCTGAAAGGCCTAAAAGGAGAGAACCTCTCCGGACTAGTGATCGCCTAAGCCTTTAGCACCACCTTCGATACGCAACTCAATACGTCCCTATCAAACCAAAATTACCAACTGCCCGACCGAAATTCAGCACCACCAAACGCAGTAGAGTTACCTGGAATAAAGGTAACTCCTGCTATGGTCCTCGAAAAACTGTCAGAGCTCCGCCCAGGGAAATCACCAGGGTGTGATGACATCCGACCGGCTGTGCTGAAACAATGCGCGGGTGCCTTGTGCGGTCCGCTGTGTAACTTGTTTCAACACTCCTTAGACAATCACATGCTTCCACAAGAGTGGAAAGCTGCTATTCTGTCCCCCATCTTCAAAGGTGGAGACAGGCAGAACCCAAAATGTCAAAAGTAATGGAGAGTCTGGTAGACGACCATCTCAGGGAGTACTTAGAAAAGAGGGGAGCACTTAGTGATGCACAACATGGTTTCAGAAAGGGTAGGTCCTGTGCCACAAACATTCTGGCGGCAGGTGATAAGTGGACGGCATGCTGGGACCTCCAAATTCCTGTCCATGTTATTTTCCTGGATTTTACTAAGGCCTTCGACACAGTTCCACACACCGTTCTTATTCACAAAATAGAAAGGTTGGGCATCAAGGGACAAGTGCTTTCATGGTTGCAGGACTATACAGACGGCAGACAATTCTGCACAAAAGCCGACAGAGTTTGCTCGACTTGGAGGACATCATCATCTGGTGTATCACAAGGGGCTATTCTGGGTCCTCTGCTATTCCTTCTTTTTGTGAATGACCTCCCACTGAATCTCAGCTCCCCAATTCTACTTTACGCTGATGATGTTAAGCTATGGAGAGCTATGACGTCAGAAACAGAATGAAGTGCACTGCAAAGTGATCTCAGATTACTTGCAGAGTGGGTGGATATTAATGGACTTGCATTTAACCTAGATAAATGCCGAGCCATGTTTCTCCGCACCCCAGACTCTCAGAAGGTACCCTATTCTCTCTGTGGAACACAACTCTCCCACACCACCACAGAGAAAGACCTAGGACTAATACTAACTGACAAACTAGACACTAGCCCCAATTATCCAGGAGATGCCTCCAGAGCCTACGCAGTACTGCACTTCATGAGCAGACAACTGGGTGCCCTGACCCCGGAACTCTTTTTGAAGCTGCATAAGACCTATATACGACCCCACCTAGAGGTACACAATGTCATTGCACCACCATATCTGGAAAGAGACGTTAACCTCCTGGGGAAAGTCCAAAGGCGAGCTACAAAGGGTGTCTTGGGAATGAGGCAAAAACCATATTGGGACAGGCTGAAAGATCTAGGGCTCTTCTCCCTAAGCTACCGCAGATTACGTGGTGACTTGATAACGGCTTACAAAATACCAAGTGATCCAAGTCATTCGAACAGTGGAATCCTACCGAACGGCCACTATGGCGATCCTCGTGGTAACCCAAGGAGGATCGCTCACCAAAGAGCATAAACCCGTGTGCGATCATACTTCTTCTCTCTGCCAGTTTGTGGCCACTGGAACTCATTGCCTGCCGAGATTGCTACTGCTGCGTCTGCTGACAGCTTCAAGAAGAGGTTGGACGATAACGCAGCGATGCATGGTTTGCGCTCATCCAACTGGGATGTGGACTAGGCTAACACGACTTACTAACTCGGTATGACCAACCGTTACTGAACACTTAGTAAAACCACTATCACTGAGAACTTGGCTAAACCTTCCTGTAGACATCCCCTGCAGTTACCGTCCTGTACTAAAAGAATTACTATATTCCCATTCGTCCTATAATGTTATTTATTCTTCTTACTTCTGACTCTACGTTCTCAAACTTTAACAAAAGCTCTCCCTATCACCTATTCCCCATGAACCTACCAATGTTTTTTTATTCCGTGCCGTTTCCTTTTTCCTAATCCTTTTTTAATATACATTATTCTCCCTCGTTTTTTCCTTTTCTTTCTCTATTTTGTCTCTCTCTGCACTTTCTCTCCCTTGATTTCTCTGCACATATTTTTCATCTCCTTTTTACAGCCAGTCCGACCAATTGTCTGCCGGCACGACATTTGAGGAACCCATCTGCACCACAGTCCTCGGAAGAAAAAGCAAACAAACAAACAACACTCCCTACAAATCTAAACAACACCCAACCGCCCGTCGGGCTAATCAGAGCTACAGCAGTCGAGTGGGTAGACCTACTGCACTGGAATCCACCAAAGACCTGGAACCGTTCCGCAAGACCTAGAAGCGAGCGCGAAGAAATCAATTGGTTTACATTAGCTCGTTAAAAGATATTGGATCCTTTCCTTTTTCTCTTCCCTTATTTTCCTTGTTCTTCATCATTTTTTTTTACCACTACCTTACAATTCCTTTTCAGGTACCTACACAGACTGGAGTCACGACAGTCCCCTAAACTTCCCAGCTACCCGTAGCTTCCCAATCACTCTACAAATTACAACTTACTAACCCACAAAACATCTACCTCACCGAGGCTAAAAGCAAGAAAGCGGAGGCGATTTCCTCTTCCACTGCAGGAGTGAACAATTCTAACCGAGCCCTAAGAACTAGATAAGAGAGATCAAAACTATCAGTTTTCTACGCTCACACAATCAGTATTGGATTGGGTATTGGAAATGCGAAAAACCACGGCAATATGGTAAGTAACTTTTTGGCGGGTAAACTGGTCTTTGTGTGATGAAAACGGGAACTACCTATTGTCTGTCATTTTAGTGTTTATGCTCTTGCTGGCCGATTATTTATTTATTGATTTTCAGATTTAAGTTTGCATCTCACTCACTAAAGGATATGTTTCTCGTCATAATGTCATAAAGCATATATCCACCTGTATTCAGCATGAAGGCTATTTCTGGTAGTTGGGAAACATTTCATAAAACGTCACTGGAGATTAAAAAGATGTCTAAGGAGAATTCTCAGTCATGAGATGTACAGTCAGCAATTTTGAAGAGAAACTCAATACAAAGTGGTGAGGCAGGATATATCGAAGCCATCTCAGTCGACTAAACTTCACAATGTCATCAACTGATGTGGCTGTCTTGCCTAGTACACTTCGCCTGACCTCAACATTCCTCACACAGTGATTCTACCAAACTCACCCACTGCTACAAAGATACCTATGATCACGTTGTCTACTTTCAACTGTCATGTTTTATCGGTTTAACAGGATGTAACAAACTGTTGTGAAGTATACTCATCCTTTGATAGATAGCCAGATAACTCGCCGACACCATAGGTGGTGTAAGTTGGCAGATGCCAAATGGGTCATCTGTATCCGAGCTGAAATTTCGTCAGCAACCAGCCCATTCGGGCTGATGTAACTCCTCAAGTAAAGAGGTCGACATCACTTCACTCCCTATCATTAATCTGAGAGTGGTTGCACACCAGTCCTGGAGCATCATCTTACATTTGACTGATGTTAGTGAAATCCATGCTAAACGTGCACTGCATTACAATGCGGTATTTGAGGACCAGTTACATCGATCAGTAGTACCGACTGACTAGATTGAAGTAAATAACCTAAGTACTTGGTGGTTGTCTCGTTTGTTCGAATAGGATTCATTTTTGGTTTTTCAAACTCGCTTCAGGTCGAAGAGTTGAAAATCTTTGCCTAAACTACGTTCCCATTTGGTGTTAATATTAACTGAGTGTTTTGAAGTTTGTGGGAAGTTGCGAATAAGTTAGCGATACCCATTCAGGTCCACAATATTTTTAGACGATTGGAACGCATAGTAAAGTAGCACAGAAAGTAAATCAACTGCACCGGCAACGCCGACCTCAATATCTTGCTCTCTATAGTCGGTTAACATAAACCCACCTAACGAAGTAGAGGTCGTGAAGGAACTCTATATTTCCATAAGGCACCCAGCTTGATCTTTTTCACAATGGAGGTGAAACTGTAGTCAGGGTCGAATTTTGTTCACACCATAGATGCATGGATCGCGTTTATCCTTTACTAGATGCTCAAACACTGTCACGCATATTGCAGGACAATGATCGTTGTATCTCTCGGTATTAGGACTTTTTCGGTTCGTTGGGCAATATCGTACTCTGGAGTTGTCTGTTCGAGAAAGGTGTTACTGAGAACTTTATTAACATTTTGAGAGCCCCACTCTTTAAAACAGTAGAGTAAAGGCTTACAGACATCGTCCATTGTTGCAGACCAATAGTAGGTTTAAGTAGAGCTTTCCGATTTCAAAAATTTTTTGACTTTGCCATTAATGACATTCTAGAGACAGCCGTGACGTAACTTCGTGGTGTTTGTGCAGACCTACCAGATGAAATATTTGTCGGTGTCGACTATGCGGGAGATAACGTTTTAGTGTGAGACAGGTGACTCAGTCAGTCACTAGCGATGAATACTCGTATGTGTGATATATGCTTCGCACCACCGGCGTGTTAAGCTCTACAAGACCTGTTTGAGCCTGTTCAGGTACTCACCCTCGATGATGAACCACCGTAAGTTGTCGAAACGTGTGACTGCTGGTGGAGGTATGACCAGTCAGGTTCCCAACCGTATATCGATAGCCAGGGTAGGGTATACCAATCTAGACTGCGTTTCACGTCGTCATGACGTTAGCCTGTCAAGTGTACAACACGTCGATGTCAACAGTTCTGCCCTATGTTCCACTGGGAACCGAAAGGAAAAATAATAAATTTTGTTTTTTTATTATTGAGAAGTAAAACGTGAGTAGTGGACGCTTATTAGGATGTGTCCTTAGAGGTGCCTCTTTAATAACCCACTTATGTTTCCATTTTGTCTTCATAATGTTTTATTGTTTGGTATGTCTATTCTCTTGGTGCCCATGGTTTACCAATTAAGTGTTTTAAATTAACTAAGTATCATCACTTATATTAATAGTCACGTCATCCTCTTTTCTGTGAGATAGAAAGTCTTATCGAAAGCCGCATAGCTTTGTTAAAGCAATTAAGTTTTTATCAATTTTTCAAATTGTATAATTCACAACAACATTTTTCACGACTCAGTAGACTTTTTCAATTGTTGTCAACAGGCTTTCCGTTGAAAATTGCTCAAGGTGTAATCTCTGACAAAAAAATGTTATGAACTAACAAAACATAAGCAGTTGGAAATCACTCAAGTTGTTCAATAGTAGTATGTTTCGAAGTTTTTTGTTGAAATACTTGAACATCTTTGGGTAACGTCAATGAGACTCTCTCTGTATGTGTGTGTGATGACTTGCATTTGTTCACAGGTGTACAGATATATAGATTGTCTTTTTTACTCAGTGTTTTCTAATTCTTTTTGTTATGTAGTGAGCACATTGAAATTTGTAACAAAACTTCCGACATTGTAAAGATTTCGACATAAGTTTCGCAAAATATTTTCGTTTCAAAATACAGAGTAAGTAGGTAGGAGTTAGCTGTTTTATGTGCCACTTATAAATACTAGTTAAATTACTGTATGGAATTGGCGAATGTTTTTAGCCCAAAGTACAATTCTTTGTCTGCTTTCAGTGAGCGTTTATGCACTATGTTTGTCGATCCAAACACCGGATTAAATTGCATAATTTAACCAGAGTGACTGATTGCTCTCTTGGGTGGACTACGAATACTGGTATACACTCATTTCATTTGAGCAGTTTCTCATTCTAATCAAAAGTTGCTCAGCATCTTCCAATTCTAAATTTCATTCAACTAAAACTTGGCTAAACAGTTATCGGAAAAAATAACGCGGCTCACCTCAATCAATCAATATCAACATAGGACCAGGCATTACTGCGTAACGGTCCAACTTGCCACACCTCATATCAGTACATCAAGTAAACAAGACAGTGAGGCACAAGATGAAGATAAGAGAATTCAGTCAGAAGAAATACAAGGTATGAGAAGAAAGAAAGGAAGAATGAGAGAATGGTGAGATTCTATATAGTGTCGTTAAGATGAGGATAATGTGTGTGGGAATAGATCTGCACCACTGACATCGGTTGTGAGCCATGTGATCACCTAGAGTTAGTCTCCAACCACTGGTTCCTATTGTCCTGCGGACCCCAACCACCTAGTCTGCATCACCCCACATGGCTCAAACCAACGGTCAGAGACTTCATGCATTTGTGCCTTGTTTTAGTCTGGCCACCTCGAGCCTTTTTCCAGTCTGGACCTACTTCAGCCAACATTTTGTGACGAGGCAATCGGTGACTAGGCATACGTAGTACGTGTCCCAACCATCTCAATCTATGAAGGCTCATAACCTCGTCAACCGACTTACCTCTTCTCCCTAAAACTCTAAACCTGACATGTGCGTTACTCATGTGGTGACACCACGGAATACAGTCTACACACTACGAAGGCAACGGTGGTCAAGCACCAGAAGTCGCCTTCTTACATCTTCCACTTTCAATGGCTACGTTTCACAGCTATATAGAAGAACAGAGTAGACTACTGTGCAGTGTACGCGACCCTTAAAAGACAAGCGGATATGGTGGCGGCGCCATAGGTGGCGTAAATTGGCGAAAGCCAATCGAGCCTTTTGTATCGGTGCAGAGATTTCATCGGCGACTGACCCACCAGGACTGATCCTACTTCTTAGGCTCACGTCGAAAAAATCTAGTATCAATGTACTTTAGAAGCGGCGTTTAAGATGGTAAGCAATTTTCAGACATTGGTTGAAAAAGTCAATTGGTCTCAACATGTTCTGAAATAATGGATGTATACGGATGCATCCCTGCAGACTCCGAGGACAATGAGAAGCGGAGGTAACTCAAACGTAGACTTACAAAAGGACTTTTCAAGAAACGTGCACAATGGTGAGTAGTGAGGGCTAAAGAAATTGAAAAGGCAACGGCAATAGGTAGACAATTATTTATATTTATTAAGGAAACTAGATCGAAAAGGTTATTGTTTAGTGAGAATATTTTGGAGAAGAATGGGTCTGTGATTCACTCGCTAGAAAAGGATTGGAACGATGGGCGGAAAATTACGAAAAACAGTTCAACTAGCCTTCAGCTACCATCATATCTGATATCCAGTTGAATCCTGAATGAACATGGAAAATTTGAGAAAGCTGTAAGCAACCTGAGACAAGAAACAGCGGATGAACTAGTACCGAAGGTATTTAAGGATGGCGTCAAAGGATTATTAGTCAGGCAAACTGAAGTGTTAGCTAGCGTGTGGGAATGAAGCATAGCCCTATTTGACTGGTCCCAGCTACAGATTGTCCCTGCTTTGAAGAAAAGTGAGAAATCCTCTTGTGTTAGCGACAGGGAGTCAGTCTGATAAGCATAGAATGGTAATTTGAAAATGTTGAGGATGTGTCTTTCGCTACCCAAATGCAAACTGTTACTTCACAACTGGTCTTCAGTGGTGCCCTGTATAACCATAGAGAGTTAAGTGTTTGAGAGCGTAGATCACTTCACTTCTATGTTATATCAGATCAGCCCTAGAGGGTCAGTGGCCGACGAACTCTCTGTGAGGGATATAAAAGGTTCACTTGGCTTTCACCTACTTACACTATTCATGGCACCGTTGCGATATCCGCTTGTCGATTAAGAGTCGAGTGTACTGTTCTGAAGTTCGCTTTGTTTTACTATATGACTATGAAGTCGTGTGTCAAGGTGTCACCACATCAATAACGTAGAAGTCAGATGTAGGCTTTTCAAGAGAAAAGGAAAGTCAACCGATTAGGTAGTGAGCCTTTATCCATTGAGGTAGATGCCTCTAATTATTGTCTACCTCATCGTACAATGTTGACTGAAGCAAAATGTAGGCTGAAAAAGGGTTACGGATGGTCGGATTATTGATTACTCAATTTCTTACTAGACTCATATTTATAAGTAATAGTTATGTAGCGGAAGTATACGATAGATTCCTTATGTTGCAATGTACCACGTGTTCGAAGCTTACTCCTCTAGGCAACCAGGTAGTATATAATATCACTAATTGTTTGTTTTTCCTAATTTTCCATATTATCTTATTTTACAGGAGTTGAACACTGATTTAGATTTAACCATTTTCAATGATTCTGCTGACGATTTTCTCAATGATAACAGATTTACTTGTGAATACATATCTAATGCCAATCAGCAATTGAGAAGATCTATATATCCTGATAATTTTACACGAAAATTGATTCCTTCAGTTATGAAAAATAAAGAAAGCGTATTAAAACATCGTAAACTTCCGGGACCTGCAGGTCTACTTCCAAAGGTGAATCTTCTTTCAAAATTTTAATTTCATCATCATTTAGTTACATGAACAAATGAATCATGGGGAACGTTTAGCCAAGTGTAAATTGCCTAAAAAGGTATCTCAGTAACACATCACCTTAACCACTGTTGTTATCGTTTTGCATAGAAAAAAGATACTGAAATATATAATTTAAGTGAGAGTTGTTTATCGCCATCTTCATCACAGAATCAATCAATTTCTAGTCAAGTTGAAGAAACTATTCTACTTAGTCAACTTCAATCAGATTGTGGTCCAATTATCTGGTCTATTATACAAAAATATTCTATTCAAAATATCTTAAAGATGGTAAATTTCTATGTTTATAAATCATTTTCTTTTCTAATATCATAGATAACTTGTAATCAATTACCAAAGGGTAAAATTCCAATTATATGCGGTTTTCTTGATGAAATAGAATTGTTACCGACTGATGCAAGAGCTTTTCTAAAAGATAATTCTGGTAGATAGTAATTCATTTATAATGTATGGATATTATCTGTGTTCTTCCTTTTCTCCAATAATAAAAAAAGGTGTCTTAGGTTGTACGATTCATCGTTCAGTGATTAAAGCATATAAAAATTCTTTATGCTGTTGTTCTCTACTTCTGTTAAAACAGGTAAGATCTAGTTTTTCATAAGAAAATTTTTTTTTTTCGGGGGGGGGGTGTATATGTTTAACAAACTGATAATTGAAGATGAAAAGGATTTCTTGATACATTAATGTTTATAGGCAGAGATGATTATTGACCAGTGATTGACTGACTAAATCAACATAGAACCTCATATAGGATTGGGTTGACCTAAGTTGCCATACTTCACAATAGTATACACTAGGAGAAGTTAAGAAAGCTGTAGGTAACCTGAAACGAGGACGGGCGGCAGGACCAGACGGAGTAACTCCAGAGGTATAAAACAATGGTGGTAAGATGCTCTTAGTCAGGTTGATGGAAGTGTGAGAATCAAATACGATCCCCTCTGACGAGAAGTCCTCTTGTGATAACCACAGAAGAATCAGCCTAATGAAGATAGTGTCCAAGATCCTAGGTTCTATAATTCTCTGACGCCTGAGTGGAGCTCGGGAATAGCAAGCCCGAGAAATCCAGGCAGGCTTTAGACCCGGTCACGGGTGTATTGATCGAATAGTCACACTGCGCCAGGTCCTGGAACATAGACACGCTTACAGACGCCCGACACTAGCTGTATTTCTCAACCTGAAGGCGGCATTCGACTCCGTTGATCAAGAAGTCTTATGGCAATGTCTCTCACTGAAAGGTGTGCCTAGTAAGTACATCACCTTATTGAAAGCTCTCTATTTGAACACTTGTAGACGTGTTAGAGCCTATGATGAGATGTCCAGGGAGCTGTGCTCATCGAGTGGTGTCCGTTAAGGGTGCCCACTGTCTCCATTCTTATTCAATTTCATCACAGATATTCTTATGGAAGTCTCCCTCTCGTCACCTGACTACACAGATGTTGACCTAATCATTATCGTGTATAGACAATGTGATCTGATTTGCCAACAATTACTATTTAACCAATCAATAACTTATACAGGGTTAATTCTCATCGGAAGAAACGATTTCCATAAAGTGACAAAATGTCAGAATTGTATTATTTTTCTACTTCATTGAGATTATGAAAACTTGGTATGTTTTTTATAGGTTGTACATATTTTAATGGGTTTTTCCCAGATGTATTGTACGTATGTGGCACCGTGGTGATATCCGATTGTCTATTAAGGGTTGTGTTTACTGCACAGCTGTCCGCTGTGTTCTACTGTATGGCTGTGAAACATGGCCATTGAAGGTGGAAGACATGAGAAGGCTTCAAGTGTTTGATCACCGTTGCCTTCGTAGCATAGACCGTATTGTGTGGTGTGATTAACGCAGAAGTCATGCGTAGAGTTTTAGGGAGGGAGAAGAAGTAAGTCAGTTGACGAGGTTGTGAACCTTCAGTGACTGAGATAGTTGGGACATGTGTTACGTATGGGTAGTCGCTGTCAGCCTGGTAACACAATGTTGGCGGAAGTAGGTTCAGGCCAGAAAAGTGCTGGAGGCGACCAGACTATCAATGAATGAAGTGTTTGACTGTTTGTTTGTGCATGTTGGACTATGCATACCGGATGGTTGACGGCTCTAGTTGTTATGCCTGAGAACTGATATCAGTGATGCAGATGTATACACACATTATCGTCATCTTAAGTATCCTGAATCCCTTTTTCTGTTTTACTGCTTTTTACTTAATGTACTAATATTAGGTGTGGGTACTTGGAGTGTGTTACTCTGTAATGCCTGGTTGATTTCGTTGAATGACTGAGAGGTATGTCTGAGTAGGCGGCGGTGGTTCGGCTATGCGTACCACGTGTTCATTCATATATGTGTACGATAGGAACGACGTTTCTTCTTTCGCCAAATTTAGTCTTCCAAGTTGTTGTTCATCGTAGGCTGAGATCAGTTGGAGGAACAAAGGAAACCTGGGAGTACTGGACAGCTGTTTCGTCCTGGTCCGGGACTCCTCAGCAGTGCGAACCCGCGACCTCGCCAGGGATCGATGAATAACAACTTAAAAATCAATTGAACTGGTGCTCATTTGTGACTAGCTCCGAGGGGGGTATTCCCGAGGTTCCAATGAGAAGTTGTGACCGGTGGTGGTGGTGGTGGTGGTGGGGGGGGGGAGCAAAGCCTGGTGGCCTGATGGACAGTTGCTCAACGATGACATTGGGTGGCGGTTGCACTATATCGTGAGCTAACAGAAGTTAAAAATATGGATGCTTAGATTATGACCCTGTGGCTGAGTGGTAACGTGCTGGCCATGGAACCTAAAGATCGCGGGGTCGACTGTCCACTGCTCTCAGGTTTCCTTTGTTCCTCCAACTGATGTCAGTCTGCGATGAATAAAAACTTGAAATATTTTCAAAATCCCTACAACTCTCTCAAAATCTAGTCTTGTCGACTGAAAGAAGACACAAGTAGTCAGGCAGTTGGTCAGTCACCTTCACTTGAAATGTAATCGTGTGAACAGGTTATTGTGTTTTAGTGTTTATTCCATATTAATACTGGTTTTTTAATCTTATATAGTGTCATATACAGTCAGCTTGTGCTACTCAAGGTCAAGGACTTTTTGAAGGTTTGGACTGGTTATCCAATGAACTATCTAAACGAACCTAGGATGTGACATCTTATCTCTGTCTCTCCAACCCTATTTTTCTTCTATTCCGGTTGTTTGTTTGTTTGTTTGTTGTTTTTTTAATCAAGAAAAAAACAACCCACTATTATTATTTTGTTTTGCACATAATGAATGGTGGTGGTTGGTGATGTCACTACTGTTCTGTAAAAAAAGCGGAAAAAGCAATAATTGATGCATATTTTTGTCTCCAACTGCCTTCTCCTTAGATTATATTTCTTTTTCGTTTACTATTTTCCTTCTTTTTTCCTTTTTCATGTTGTTATGCCTGACGAAAACGATGTTATGTACGTGTGTTTGTGTGTGTATAAGGAATTGGTCCATTGTCTTTATACTTTGTATTCCCAGTGCCCTATTGTTGATACAGGTTTAACTCCGACAACAACAAACTCCAATCACCATCAACGGGAGAAACTTAAAGGAAGTAGCCTCTTTCACCTATCCAGGCAGCATCATTTCAACTACAGGTGGCACAGACGAGGACGTCAAAGCCAGCCAGGATCGGAAAAGGAAAGCAAGACAGGCGTTCATTAACCTGAAACCAGTGTGGAGATCTTCTGCACTCAGCATAAAGCGTGAACAACATCCGGATTTTCAACACTAATGTCAAGTCATTGATTCTATGTGATGGTTGAGAGAGCTGGCGCGTTGCGAAAGGAATTTCCAACAAACTACAGACATTCATCAACAGCTGCCTATTCTGGTTCGTTACTGAAGATCAGATGGATGGCCAGAAAGAATAAGCAACAAGGAACTCTGGCTGGCCTGGCAACGAACCAACCAAGAACCTATTGCTCAACAAATGTGCAGAAGGAAGTGGAGATGGATTGGGCATGTATTAAGAAGACCGACTGGGGACATCACGTGCTAGGTACTCGAGTGAAACTCAGATAGGAAACGACGAGTTGGGCGTCTTGGCCGAGGGTGACATGGAGGGGATGGTGTGAGTAAAAAATGAGAGCTTCTGGGTGTTCGTGGAGCCAGGTTCAAAATTTTGCAGGGAAGAGAGTGGAGTGGAGACGTGCTACTGAGGCCCTATGTCCCACTAGGAACCCAAGGGACAAATAATAATAATAAGGTCCGGTTACTAACTAGTTCTTAAATACACTCCTAACTGTCATGTGAATTATAATCACACTGAATGCCCAGCTAGTTTTTTTAGGGATTTTGATTAACAGTAAAATCTAGCCAACAACCTTGTTCATACTCGTGTAGTTAAAGCAGACTTTAGCTTGTGATCGGTCGGCTGAAGGTTTGTAAGAAATTCATCTGGATACCAAAGATAATGCATCGATAGAGATTATACAATGGATTAAAATTACAAAGATCATCATTATAGTGGATAACAATAATGAAGAAATCCTAGTAGCTAGCAGTGGAAGCCACCTTGACACTTGTTTCGTCTCATTTCGGACTCGTCAGCTGGGTGCACCTGCTCTCCCACTCTGGCATATCGAACGATTGATCCTAAATTAGAGTCTTAAGCGGGGGGAGGGCGGTAAACAGTAAGTCCATTGATGCAGTCATAGACTTTCGTCGACTCAAGTGGTTAGGGACAGGTGTTACACATCCCTAGTCTTTCGTCTTTCTCAATGTACAGTGTAATCTTGCAGTTATCAGCTCAAACACATGATACTGAAGCAAATCAGTTATCTGTTTGTAGGGAAGTAATGGAGTGTCGTCGACGGTTTTTCCTAACTGTCATGTGAATTGTAATCACACAAGCTAGCAAGCTAGAAAAAAATGTAGCGGTAGCTACACTAAGATGATGTAGCTTGACTATTGTTTTAAGCCGTGTAGGGAATGTAGACTTTCAGGTTGGAATCCGTTGAAAAATAGAAACCACTAGTGGTTGAAGACTGTAGGTGATGATACGCCTGAGAATTGATATCATTGGCAAAGATCAATCCACAATTTATATCTCTTCTTAACTTTTGTGCATTCTCGCCTAATGTGTATGGCAACTTGAAGTGTTATTCAATAATTCCAGATCCCAACAATGATGCTCATTAACTAACTAATTAATCAAATAAAACTGACTAACTAATTAACCAACTCACTAACTAACCAATTAACTACTTAACTAATTAATTAATTAACTAACTAACTGGCTCACTAATTGACTCACTCACACAGTAATTACTTAATTCAATAACTAACTGACTGACGAACTAACTAACTAGTTAACTAACCAACTAAATAAGTAATTGACTAGTCACCTAGTTGAATAACTAATTACTTAACTATTACTATTATTATAGTTTGTCCCTAGAGTTCCTAGTGGAACATAGGTGTTGAGTAGCACGTCTCCATTTCACTCTGTTCTCTCCACTCTTTTCAACCTGGCTCCACCACCGCCCATAAGCTTTCATTTCTTCTCATACGACCTCCAGCATGTCATCCTCGGACGCCCAACTCGTTTCCCCTTTGGTTCCCACTCGACGACCTGATTCATGATGTCCCCAAAATGTTTTCTCAGTCTATGTCCAGTTCAACTCATCTTCACTTTGTTTTTCTGCATATTTGTCGGGCGATGGGTTCTTGGTTGGTTGGTTCGTTGCCAGCCGGGGTTCCTCCTTGCTTATTCTTTCTAGCCATCTGATCGATCTTCAGTATTGAGTGTAGGTGGTAGCTGTTGACGTAGGTCTGCAGTTTGTTAGAAATGCTTTTCGTGAGACGCTAAGTCTGAACCATCACATGGAAGCGAATACTGACTTGAGTGAAATAGTGTTGAGAATCCGAATGTTGTTGTTTATGCTTAGTGCAGTGCAGTGCAGTGCAGTAGATCTCCACACTGATTATTTCAGATTAATGCAGGAAGGCCTGTCTTGCTGTCTCTCCGATACTGGCTTTGACATGGTCACGTGTGCCTGTGCCGCCTGTGGTTGAAACGATGGTGCCTAGGTAGGTGGATGACTTCTTCTAGACTCCTCTGGTTGATGGTGCTTGTTGTTGTTGATTGGGTATCTTCATCACCTGTATCTTCTCCATGTTCATCTGAAGGAAGTCGCGTCTTCGCTGCCTCACCTCTTCTGTCAACTTGGTACTTTTCGCTTGTATATCTTCGAGTTTGTGCAACAAGTCATTAGACATAAATCATCATGGGCGAAATCGAAATCTCCTCCATGTCACCCTCGGCCAAGACGCCCAACTCGTCGTTTCCTATCTGAGTTTCACTCGAGTACCTAGCACGTGATGTCCCCAGTCGGTCTTCTTAATACATGCCCAATCCATCTCCACTTCCTTCTGCACATTGTTGAGCAATAGGTTCTTGGTTGGTTCGTTGCCAGGCCAGTCAGAGTTCCTTGTTACTTATTCTCTCTAGCCATCTGATCTGAGCTTCAATAACGAGCGTAAGCGGCAGTTGTTGATGAATATCTGTAATTTGTTGGGAATGCCTTTCGTGATGCGCCAAGTCTCTGAGCCATATAGAAGCACTAACTTGACGTTGGTGTTGAAAATCCGGATGTTGTTCACGCTTTAGGCTGAGTGCAGAAGATCTCCACACTGGTTTCAGGTAAATGAACGCCTGTCTTTCCTATCCTGGCTACTTTGACGTCCTCGTCCGTGCATGTGACGCCTGTAGTTGAAACGATGCTACCTACATAGGTGAAAGAGACTACTTCCTTCAAGTTTCATCCGTTTCCACAATATAGGCATCTGAGAATCGTCCATCAGCAGGATTTCAACAATACACATGACTAATGAAATGTAGCGTTTTATCTTGTCAATTAGTTAAATTATCTCTGTAATCCTCATATATATATATTCTTTTCTTTTCAAACTATTTAGGTCAGTATCTTTAGTCCAACTGGTAAAAAATTCTACGCTAATATAACTCTATCAAATGTTGTCAGAATTTACACTCCTGAGAATACAACAAATAGTCATATTGTAACAGTACACCCTCGTTTTGCCTCTCCTTTATCTATCTCTGAAGTTGAAGCATTAGAAGCGGATTGTTTAAAGCTGCCTACACCATCATCGATGGCAACAGCTGCGTCATCTTCATCTCAGTTATCACTTTCGCCTATCTCTAAACCTGTGTAAGTATATTTTGTTGTTGATTACTTCAGTGTAACATGATTCATGTTATCAAACTTCTTGAAATGATTTTCAGCTTCACTAATTCCATTTAAAAAAAGTATTTATCAAAATCTGAGGATGTATGCATGTCAGCTTGCGTGTTGATTGTTATTCCTTAGTAATTCTTATTTTAGAGAGTTACCATCTTTTTACCTGTCATCATTTGTTATATTCTTGCATTGCTGCTATTATTATTACTGTTGGTATAATTATTGTGATTATTACCCTTTTTGTTTTTGTTATTATTATCATTATTGTCGTTATTATTATCATCACTATTATTATCATTATTATGATTATTATTCTAGCTATTACGATCGTTATTATTATCATTACTATTACTATCCTCGTTACTATTATTATCATCATTATCATCACTATCATTTTTCTCCGTTTTCTCATTCTTTTCATTATTATTATTATTATTATTATTACTATCATCATTAGCATTGTTGTCAGTGTTATTATTATTCTCACCATTATCATCAATGCTGTTAATATTATTACTATTGTTATTATCGCGATTATTATTAGTACTCTTATTATTATTACCAACGAAAATGGAAGTCCTGAACGCCATAAAGCTACTGAAATGCGGGAAAGCAGCAGGACCAGATAGAATACCGCCAGAAGCACTGAGAACAGATGCAGAGACAACAGCGGACATGCTCACACCACTATTGCAGAAGGTGTGGAAGGAAGAGAAGGTACCTGACGATTGGAAGAAGGGTTACCTTGTCAAACTGCCGAAGAAGGGAGACCTAGTGCTTGCAAGAACTGGCGCGGAATCACTCTCCTGTCCACCCCAAGTAAAATATTAAGCCGCATCATCCTAGAGAGGCTTAAAGACGCACTGGATTCAAAACTGCGACTGGAACAGGCAGGCTTCAGGAAGTACAAATCATGTACAGACCAAATTGCAACGCTTCGTATCATCATAGAACAGAGCATAGAATGGCAATCAGCTCTCTACCTCAACTTCATCGACTTTGAGAAGGCCTTTGACAGCGTCGACCGAGAAGTAATTTGGAAACTGCTTCAATACTACGGAGTACCGCAAACCTTTATCCGCCTCATTCAACAACTATATGAAGATGCTACATGCCAAGTAATCCACAGTGGGAAGCTCAGTGATGCCTTTGAAGTGAAGACAGGAGTGAAACAAGGTTGCCTACTATCCCCCATGATATTCCTGACTGTGTTGTGGTGGACTGGATCATGCAGCAAACAGTAGGCAGCGAGAAGAGGGGGATACACTGGACGACGGAAAAGAACCTAGAAGACTTGGATTTCGCCGATGACTTATGCCTAATGTCACATAAACTTGAAGATCTGCAGGCAAAAACTAACAAGTTGATAGAAGAGGCAGCTAAGACGGGACTTCAGGTGAATATAGAGAAGACAGAAGTAATGAAGATACCGCACCACCACCATCAACAACAACAACAAACTCCAATCACCATCAACGGGAAAAACTTGAAGGAAGTAACCTCCTTCACTTATCTAGGAAGCACTGTTTCAACTACAGGCGGGACGGACGAGGATGTCAAAGTCAGAATCGGAAAAGCAAGACAGGCGTTCATTAGCCTGAAACCAGTGTGGAGATCTTCTGCACTCAGCATGCGGAACAAGATACGGGTGTTCAACACCAACGTCAAGTCAGTGCTCCTGTATGGTTCAGAGACTTGGCGCGTCACGAAAGGGATTTCCGATAAACTACAGACATTCATCAATAAACTGCTTACTCTCGCTACTGAAGATCAGATGGCCAGAAAGAATAAGCAACAAGGAACTCTGGGAACGAACCAACCAAGAACCTATCACGCAACAAATATGCAGGAGGAAGTGGAGATGGATTGGGCATACACTGAGAAGGCCGACTGAGGACATCACGCGTCAGGCCAGTTGCTCGAGTGGAATCCCATGGGAAGCGACGAGTTGGACGTCCGAGGGTGACATGGAGAAGATCGTGCGAGCAGGAAATGAGAGGTTGTGGGCTGTCGTGGAACCAGGTTCAAAAGATCTCAGAGAACAGAGGTCACTGGAGGCGTGCTACCGAAGCCCTATGTTCCACTAGGAACCCAAGGGACTAATAATAATAATAATAATCATTATTATTGTTGTTATTATGATTACTATCCTCATCATTATTGTTATTATGGTGTTTGTTATCCATGTCATCATCTTTATTGTGATCATTGTTGCTCTTGTTATCATTATTATTATCATCATCATTTTTTAATCATTTCCATTATTATTATGATTACTGTTATTATTATTATTATTATTATTATTATTATTATTGTCGTTGTTATCATCATTAAGATAATCATTATTATTATTATTATCATTATTATTGTTATCATCGTTATTATTTTCGTCGTCATTATTATTATTTTTATTGTCATTATTATTATTGTCACTATTGTTCTTATTATCATTAATAGTAGCCTATGTTTTCATATTATTATTATTATTATTATTGTTATCATCAATGCAATACTATTGTTGTCATCATTACCACGGCTATGATCATTAATTTTCATTATCATCATTGTTGTTGTGACTATTTCATTATTATTATTATCATAACTGCCATTATTATTATCATGTCATTACTATTATTATCATATTATATTATTATTATGATTATTGCTATTTGGCTTGTCATTATTATTATCACCATGATTACCATTATTATGATTATGTCATTACTAACTTGCGGTCGTTATTATATTATTATCT